ATGCTAAACCTTGACCTTGAAGGCTCTCCTGCATCTCCCTAGGCTTCTGACCGAAAGAAGGGGTAGAAATGTGTAGTTGGGTTATTTCCAAACAGAGATATTCTTATTAAAATATTTGCATGTAAATACTGAAAACATTGATTCACAAAACAATTATGCTAGGATAATCTGAAAGATTGAGACATTCAGTGTTGTTTTAAGCAAAGTAATTAGCTTCTAGCTCACAAACTTCTTTCTCTGAAAACCCATTGAGGGAGCAGATGCTCAAACATGCATGGTATTAAATTAAGAGAATGGTACTTTCTTTTCCTTCAAGAACCAGATGGTTCCAGAATCCAAAGGCAATGGAGAAGAAAGCCAAAATTTATTTATTTTAAGTGGTTCTCATTGAGGGTTTATGAGAAAGATCACATTTTAGTACCTAGTAGACACATGTAAAATTTCACAAATGCAAATTTCACAGTCAATTGCCTTTTCACAAAGAGGCAATGTGCAAAGGTTATAAAGAACCTTAAAGGTTATCTGTCTATTTAGGGCCAGTAGTAATGTGATATCTTGGTAAGAGGAAAAAAAAAATTACAAGGAATAAACAAATACTGGAATTATAGATTGCTTATTTTTCTTTATGTGCAGTTTCAAAGTTTAACTCAAATACCAGGAAAATATTTTATAAAACAAAGGAAAGATTAGAAAAATATACAGTGCTCCTATTGTGAAAGAACATTTTCCTTTAAAAAAAACTAAACATAATTTGCTAACAATGCCTGAAGCTCAAATGAATAAAGGTTGTTCATTTGCATAAGGACACTCTCAGAGGATTAAAAAATTCCAAGAGGGAATGTGTGGAGCTTTGGCAGTAGGAATGAGAAAAATATTAACTCAGTTCGATACAACATATTTTTGGCCAGCCATTATGTCCAAGATCCTGGGCTAAGCACGAGGGTACAATGGTAGAAAACAGAGTTTCTGCATCCTAGAACTAGTGGATTTTGTCTGGGAAACTGGGTAGTTACAGAATTAAGTGTATCCAGTTTCTGATTTATATGTTCTTTGACCAGCAACTTGTCAGGCTCTGCCTTTGCAAGTGAAGAGGAAAAACATTTCATTCTTCTTTGATGGTGAGTTTTTTTTAAAAAAATCATCTTATGACAGGAACATTTATTAACAAGAAAGTGCACCATAACTAAAAGAAAGGAGTTTAATTAAGTTTTGGAAGCAACACATCAGGGAGCTAAAGAGTAAATGAGTATAAAAGGGAAAAGGGAAAAGAAAGGAAGGGAGGCAGATGGGTGGGGACTGAGCAATGAAAAGTAGCCCAAGCCTAGAAGGGCCAGGGGAAGACAGTGTAGACCACCTCCTGCATCCCTCCCCACCCCCCATCCTCAAATGCTAGTGGACCTCAGGTCATACATGCTGCTGACTGAACTCCTCCCGCAGAGTCTTAGTCCTCCAAGAAATAGAAGGATGAGGGTGGGAGCCAGAGACAGGAAAGGATATGAGAGAAAGTGGAGAAAGAAGACACATTGGCCTTCTGGGTCTTAATTGCTTTCATATAAATTGAAATGAAATGAGAAGTGTAATGGAGTGGAAGAAAGATACACTTCAAATTGAAGGATTACTAAAGTAGGAGATTGCTTGTACAGATGACAGAAAAATAAAAATCTGGTCTAAATGAAATATGAAAATTGAATAACAAATGAAATGACCAAGATTTAAGAAAATCTGATCATAAAAACAAATTAGCCCATTCCAATTACTTGGATTTAAATTGTGAATGATTAGCTTGATCTTAGCAGCACCACGGTAAAGATGCAAGCTAATGTAGTAAAAACCATTATCATACACGGTACATTATTATTTTGAAAATGTCAAAGATACAGAGATTTGTTTCTTGGAGGCAATGATAGTTGGCAATTGAGACCTAACAGAAAATTAAAATTTTGTAAGGAATTTAAAAAATGACCTTATCTCAGGCTTGTGATAAAAAGATTTATAGGTTATATTTAATATATTATACATGCTCTGAAAGCAGAGCATGTTATATTATATATAATGTATTATACATTCACATCAACAGAAAGTTTGCTTTCTCTCTACATATTGCATTTAAACTTCTTCTCCAAATGGATTTCTATTAGAAAAAATGGTTCCTTTTAGAACAAATAGCTACTAGCAAAAAATTAATGATTTTTAGAGTCATGTTAAATATAACTGACTGAAGAATCTGTAAAACACAGTCTGCTGGTGAATGGAATTTTCCAAATTAAATAACTACTCTCTTGTTTGGGAGGTATTATACTATGCCTCGTGGAACCAAGGAAGTAGTCCAGTGTTGACTCTTGCTTTCCGTTTTTGGTGCCCCAAATAGGAAGCAGTCTGGGTCTATGCCATCTATGCAGCAATAAGGAAAAGCAATTAGGACAACCCCTGAGGGTTTTTGCCAAAATGACTGCATTCTAGACTTGGATCTTTAATGGTTGGATCCATGCCATATTTATTTCTATATTCCTATTACTTAGCAGAGTGGATAAGTCAGTCTTTGTTATGGATATATCTTTGGAAAGAACTAGATTCAAATCCTATCTCTTATGAGCAAGGAAACAGTGGCCAACTTATTTCTGTTTCAATTTCTTCAAAATGGACATAAAAATAACTCTCCATTTTGGTTGTCATGAGGATTAAATTAGGTTTCTGAAGTTCTAAGTACAGTGCTGGGAACATAGTGGAACTCAAGAAATGATAGGTATTTATCATAGCACAATATAGTAAGCAGACTTCAGTTACCCACATATAGCTCATCACTCTACCTGTACCTTTAGTTGATGGAGCCAGTCTATCCCAGCAGCTGCTTCCTGACATCTCACTTCTTATGATGTTTGAGTTTTTATATGTATTATGGATGGTTAAAGACATTCCAGAACAGAGGTTAATTTAGGGGCCTTAGAAAAGCCATAGCTTCAGGTCCTTGCCAAGAAAACCCCAAAAAAAGTTCTTGTCCACATAGCCTGGACAAGACTGAGAACCTTGAGGGCTGTTGAGACCTAACTGAACCAATTCAACTCTTTAAGAATAACCTTGTGGAATTTTCTGGGGCTGTGTTAATACTGGTTATTTCAACTGCCTGCATAGAACTAATGGAAAGCAAAGTAGGTCAAACTCAGAGTACTAGCTGGGCCTTTGTTAAGATTTAACAAAATGTTATCATATGTGTAAAGCTAACGAAGATATCAGTTATTGAGATGGTGTTGCTAAGATGGTGCTTGAGAAATGAGATTTGTTCACTCGGGCCTCTTCAACCTAATACTTGATCATGCTCTAAAAACCCATTATGAGGACCTGAAGATATTGGATGAATTACCCATAGAACTCCAAACGGAGCCTTTATGAGTTCCATGTCAACCCATGGTTGATGGACTCCCAGTCATTTAGAAAAATCAAGTATCTTCACCAGGAGAGCAAAGAGGGAGAATCAAATGCCATTTTCCCCAAGATTGTTTTTTTCCTAAGGAATTGAACTATTTCTATTTCCTTGAGGAGTTTAAGAGTACTGTGGTTTACCTATTATCATTAGAAATTATTTTAATAAAACCTGATAATGAGCAATCTCAGCTCAGGCTTATTTTTTTAAGAGGCTTTTTTCCCCTGGAATTTTCCCTCAAATTCCTTAGTTGAACTACGTGGCTCTCCACAATGCTCCCCCAACACTGCTGGCTAACCTCTTTTTTTTTTGTGCTTTCCAATTTATACCAAAATAGCCTATTTGTCATCCCCACTAAAGGAACCTCAAAATCTATGTCATCTGTCTATCTACTTATCTAACATAATTATGTTTATATATGTATCTAAATATATCATATATATCTATATTGTTCATCTTCATATCTGGCACTTAGGCATTACAACTTACTGAAGGGATAAACCAGTGGCCGACTATGTAACAGAGGCATAAAGGGATCTTATATAACAAGATTATTTTGCATATTTAAAATATGTTTCAAAATATATAGTTTTTAGTAAATTCATATTTTTAATTAAGGTTAAAAATTTAGGCTTATATAAATTATGAAAATATATAATCAAGTTACCTGGCAAAGCAAAGCAATGGTCAGGCATTACAAATCTAGAGTGTTGGGAATTTATTATTTCCTGTATTGGTCACATTTTTGTAAGGTATTCAATTCATCTGATTCAGCAGGAGAAGGAAACTATTTATAGTATGACTTCCTCTCAATTTCAGATGAATTACCATTACATATGTGTCACATTTTTCTCTGACAGTGAAAGAATGTGTTTTCTTAATGGAAGTATTTTCATTACCACTCAACTTCTGAGCTTCCCTGTTTGAGATAAGATATTGTAAAAGACACCAACAGAATATCAATCATAATGATAATATGATAGTATAGATTCATCAAGTACTAGACCTGAAATCTTAGGGATACCTCCATCAAAATTATATTGAACCTCTAAAGCAAAATTCCAATTGTTAGTGCCCTGAAGTTTACTCTCATATAAAAAGAGAAAACTTTTTTATTTAAATAAATATGAGTTAAAAACAATGTTGCTTTTGGAGATGATGTGAAATATGACTTTTCATAACCATAATGTGTCTTCTGTTCCTCTTGGAGCATACTAGGGAATGATGATTTAATTTCTTTGTAAGCAATGAAGAAGAAAAAATTTCTTGTCTGTAGAAGTTTCTTATAATGACGATATCAGCAACAAGATACCCATATCAAAAGATATTAGAACATAAATGAGATTATGTTGCAATTAGCCATGTCTGTCTGACAGATTTCTTTCTAAGGGAAATTGTACAGAGCGTTTTGTCAAGCCTCAAGGATTTTGATAAAAGAAAAAAAGAAAACTGCAGTTTTTGTCACAAAAAGGCAGGTGGCGTAAGCATGCAGCATTTTTTTAAAAATATAAAGTAATTATTTTCTCTTGGGTTCTTTGAAAAAGCTCGCGTGTGCTCTGGTTTGTGGCTGATCCCGGTGACGTCAGTGTGGCAGTGCGGAGTCAGGCGGCGGCAGCTCGCTATAAACCGAGGAGCTGTCCGGGTGCTGAAACGGCCCGAGCAGCTCACCCGGTGGACGGGGAGGAACATGCTGTGAACCTTCTCTGCTATATAAAAAAGGGTAAGACTACTTTTCTCTTCTGTTTACTGGAAAGTTCTAAATTGTGTGTTCTACCCTTGAGTGCTAGCTGAGAAGAAAAAGACCACGTAGCAAGCTTTTGTATCTATAGAATAACTGAAGTGCAACCTGCTGCTCATTAGCCAAAACAAGGACATTTGTATGTATATGTATGATTGAATCTATGCTTTATACCACTTGCTGTTGGATATTTATTAACCATAATGCTATTTACATAACCATGTATAAGAAGCGAGAAAAAGTTAAGGACTTTAGTGTCAAAAACATATTAACATAAACTTAATCAAGCCTGATATTTTGTTTCTTTCCTTAATTTATTGTTTCTTCTCTTAAAAACCAGATGCAAAGCCAGGATTATAATTTGTATACTTAATGTTCTTAACAGTAGGTTTCCAATGATTCAAAGGCTGTAAACACATTAGTCACAGAGACAACTGATTTTGGAACTAGTTTTTTTTTTCTTTGACATTTATCTTTCAAGAGCTCAAAATTAATTAATTATATAAAATAATTTTCTGACTTGGTATACTCAGAAAGGCTTATATTATTATTTCCTAATTTTAGTCTCAGAAAACTAAAATTAGAATGATCCTCAACAGAGGCTTCTTTCTTTATTTAGGGTGAAATCTTATCTAGGGTTATATGTTGGATGTGATCATGAATTACAGAAAGATGATAATTTTGAATACATGAAAAAAGCATTCATAACTGTATAAGCTATTATTATTATTATGCTTTGATTGAAAGAGGTTGTACAATATTTTGCTAAAGATTTTGAATGGGACAAGTGTTTTCTTTTTCTGTATCCTAACCAGTTGAATTGCTCAAATTAGATATATCCATTTGCATTTTTCAATGCTCCAGTTTAATTTCAATAGAAAAGACATTTTAACTTGTGAGGCTTTAGTTCAAACCCTATACAAGATATTAGAGCTGTTGAAACCATTTTCACTACTTAGAAGAGATGATGCCTGGGAAAGAAAACATGAATCTTACTCAAAGGCAAAAACTGTGTCATCTGAAATGAACCTTATAAATGACCAAAGGGTAGAGCTTGTGAGGCTGTGGTATAAATAACTGCAGTTATTTCTGCCCCAAATCCACATCAAAGCCCACCTATAAGATAATGATTTTAAAGATAAGCACATAACTAATATGTTAAGAATATTTCAGAATAATGGTTTCAAAGAAAATATGTTCACTAAGGTTCTTAAAATTACTGTTTCAAATGCCAGCATTTAAAACAGATTACCAAAGCTAAATTAACCCTGAAATAATATAAAGAAGAATATGTGCTGTATTTTTATTTAAACCTAAGAATTCATGAATAAAATTTCTTACAATGGTACTATAACACTGATTCATAGTAAATGTTTTAGAAGTTTTCTCTGACATACCTGTAGAGATTTTTGTTTTGGTAAATTAAGTAATCTGGTTAATTGGAATCATTTAAGTAAACTCAAGCATCTATACTAGAGAAATTTCGACAGCTACACCATTTTTAGGCTCTAAAAACTGAAATATTACCTCAATATTAATATGATCTACTGAACAATGATATTTTCTACACTTGATATCTAAACTAATAGAAAATTGTACCAACACAGTTTAGCTTATATATCACAAAACCGTGACCCAGGTAAGATATCATGAACAAATTTATAAACTTCCTTTATCTTTTTAAATTTTATTTGCAACCAAATTGCAAGTATTAAAATAGTTATTTTTCAATGTTAGCAATGTCAAATGTAAAACGTAAAAACTAATCTCCTTGCTAATTCATATGTGAGATTATAAGGCATTGGAGAAAAAAGTGAATGAAGACTTTCAAGTAGGAAGAATTCAACACATCTTCTGTGTTTATCAAAATTGGAAGTTACATAGTGGTTATTTGAAGATTTTGTGAGTCATTTGAGATTTCACAGGTCCACTCCAAAATAGGCACAGACATAAGTCATGCTGAATCTGAACACTCGCAAGTTCAGAAATAGATTGGTTTAGGATTCTTATGTTCTCTCTGTAGCATCTGTTATTATTTACTATACACTCTTGAGGGCTGATGAAAAATGTAACCATGATTGCATTTTGCAAAATGGTCACAATAAAATTATTAGAGGAAATATGGGGCATATTTTAAAACAGTTTTATTATTTTAGTATGTTTAGACAGAAAGAAACTTCAGTGGGTTAGCCTACTAGCTTGAACCTGAGAAAAGCCATGTTCTGGAGGTTACTGATGTATAGAACTTCCAGAATTGATAACTGGATTTGGTGTCAGAGTGAGAACAAGTTATTTCAAAAAATGTGTGTGAATGGGTCCCATCCACAAAGTAATTCAGTATGATTGATATTAATATGCTGTATCAATTCATTATATATAATAATGTCACTGTTGCTGTTTCTATAACAAAATTAGATGGACAATTCAGTAAGTAAACAATGTGTTTTTTTAAATTAAGCCTTAAGGGAATTATTTAGAGTGTTTTATGTATGTGGGTATCTGTGTGTACATACATGTTTTAAATTAAGCTGCTTAATTTTTATTGATGATTTCAATAGGAATGCTGTACAATTGAAACTCATCTTGAAGTCATTATTAAAGAAAATCAATGCATATCAAAAGACAAACTACATGTTTTATAAATTACAAAAAAAAATTTGAGAAGCCTCATATCAGTGTTCTGTTATTATTTTAGCCAAGTGAATGCCATGCAAATTTGATGCAAATGAGTAACAATTTTACTAGATTCCTGTGTTTGGCTTGTGAGGATTGTGTAGGAAATACTTATGGGTTTTAAAAAGAGTCAGACTAAATTTAATGTGAAATAATCTCTGCTCTGTGTTTTCCCTCAGCAATTGCTAATTCTTTTGCTATACTGTCTTCTAGTCTTTCATTTGTGTTGACTCCTATTTTCTGTGCTTTAAGGACATCTTCAAACATGGCAGAAGCTAAGACTCACCGACTTGGAGCAGCCCTGTCTCTCATACCTTTAATTTTCCTCATCTCTGGGGATGAAGCAGCTTCATTTCAGCGAAACCAGATGCTTCAGAAAGAACCAGACCTCAGATTGGAAAATGTCCAAAGGTTTCCCAGTCCTGAAATGATCAGAGCTTTGGAATACATAGAAAAGCTCCGACAACAAGCTCACAAGGAAGAAAGCAGCCCAGACTATAATCCCTACCAAGGTGTCTCTGTTCCTCTTCAGAAAAAAGAAAATGGTGATGAAAGTCACTTGCCAGAAAGTTCAAAGGATTCCCTGAGTGAAGATGAGTGGATGAAGATAATTCTTGAAGCATTGAGACAGGCTGAAAATCATCAGCCTCAGTCTGCACCAAAAGAAAACAAGCCCTATGGCTTGAATTCAGAAAAGAACTTTCCAATGGACATGCCTGATGATTATGAGTCTCAACAGTGGCCAGAGAGAAAGTTCAAGCACATGCAGTTTCCTCCCATGTATGAAGAGAATTCCAGAGACAACCCCTTTAAACGCACAAATGAAATAGTAGAGGAACAATATACTCCTCAAAGTCTTGCTACACTGGAATCTGTCTTCCAGGAGCTCGGAAAACTGGCAGGACCAAACAACCAGAAGCGTGAGAGGGTTGATGAGGAGCAGAAACTTTACACAGATGATGAAGATGATATCTACAAGGCTAATAACATCGCCTATGAAGACGTGGTTGGGGGAGAAGATTGGAACCCAGTCGAGGAAAAAGTAGAGAGTCAAACTCAGGAAGAGGTAAGAGACAGCAAAGAGAATATAGAAAAAAATGAACAAATCAATGATGAAGTGAAGCGTTCTGGGCATCTGGGCCTCCAGGATGAAGATCTTCAGAAAGAGAGTAAAGACCAACTTTCAGATGATGTCTCCAAAGTAATCGCCTACCTGAAAAGGTTAGTGAATGCTGCAGGAAGTGGGAGGTCACAGAATGGGCAAAATGGGGAAGGAGCAACCAGGCTTTTGGAGAAACCACTTGATGCTCGGTCTATTTACCAGCTGATTGAAATCTCCAGGAATTTACAGATACCCCCTGAAGACTTAATTGACATGCTCAAAACTGGAGAGAAGCCAAATGGATCAGTGGAACCAGAACAGGAACTTGACCTTCCCATTGACCTAGATGATATTTCAGAGGGTGATTTAGATCGCCCAGATCTGTTCCAAAATAAAATGCTCTCTAAGAATGGCTACCCTAAAACACCCGGTCGTGCTTTGACAGAGGCCTTACCAGATGGGCTCAGTGTTGAGGACATTTTAAATCTTTTAGGGGTGGAGAGTGCAGCAAATCAAAAGCCTCCATATTTTCCCAGTCAGTATAGCCAGGAGAAGCCTCTGCCAAGACTCCCCTACAGTCCTGGAAGATCTAGAGCAAACCGGCTTCCCAAAGGTGCCTGGATGCCAGATGTTGAAAACAGACAAACAGCCTATGAAAACCTGAATGACAAGGATCAAGAATTAGGAGAGTACTTGGCCAGGATGTTAGTTAAATACCCTGAGATCATGAATTCAAACCAGGTGAAGCGAGTTCCCAGTCAAGTCTCATCTGAAGATGACCTACAGGAAGAGGACCAAATCGAGCAGGCCATCAAAGAGCGTTTACACCAAGGGAGCTCTCAGGAGACTGATAAACTGACCTCGGTAAGCAAAAGGCTCCCCGTGGGACCCCCAAAGAATGAAGACACCCCAGACAGACAGTACTTGGATGAAGATCTGTTAATGAAAGTGCTGGAATACCTCAACCAAGAAAAGGCAGACAAAGGAAGGGAGCACATTGCTAAGAGAGCAATGGAAAATATGTAAGCCACTTTCATTTCATCGCCTTGCTTCCATCCCTCCACCCCAAGCTCACCCATTGTTACTCTTTAGTGTGTTGACTTCTCTCCTGTTAACACTGTAATATCTTTAAATGATGTACAGGCAGATGGTTCCATTTCACTGGGGTGTCTGCTTCACTTACCCTGAGCCGTTCTCTTGTGTATGGATATGTGTAAATGTTATGACTTCTGGATAAAAAAAAATTAATCCTATTCCTTATTCAAGAAAGTTATGTGATAGTGTTTAATAGTGTATCTAATGGTTGTGACATTGTTGGTGTTCAATATGATAAAGAGTGTCCTATAATTCTCTTGGAAGTTTTTAATATTTATTGAATTATTTTGTTAATGTCTGTAGAGTTTTGTGAAGGTACTGGAGTAAAAAATAAAATAAAGCATTATAAATATATAGTTTTATTTATAAGGCCTTCTCTATTGTGTATTTTATTGTTGATTAATAAATGTTATTTCTGGATAACTGTGGACTCTTCATTCTGGAAAACCAGAGATAATGATTGTGGAGCAAACAGTATGGAGCCGAAAGAGAAAATCATTACCTTCCACAGCCAGCCCAGGTAAGAAAAAGGAATTGTAACTATATGATCATGGTATATGCTGGAGAGGTCCGAATATTTGTGCATCTTAAAGCTGGGCCTCCAGAAGGCACATGACTTACTGCTGGTCTAAGGTGTTTGTCATATATGTGATTTATGGAATAAGCCTTTTGTTGTCACATTAGTATACTTTTACCCTTGATTCATATAAATAAAAGCATTTAAGTCTTCCATACCCTTAACCAGCACTGGAAAAGAAAAAAGAGTACAAAGGGCAATCAGAAATGACTACAGACTTGGAAGTAACCTGCATGTTTCCAGGTCACCCTGTCCCTAGAGGAGGAGGCTGATGCCTCTTTTGAAAGATTTGAGAGGGGTTAAAGGA